TCCAGGGGTTCCTTACTCAGAGCAAGAAAGGAAAATTGCTGCCCTTGGAAGGTTGGAACGTGCAAAAATTTGGGGGGAAGACAGACAGAAATATGGCAATAATAATATAATAATAATTATAATAGTAATTTCTGGCTCTTGCTGCTTTTGTATGAGAAGGTGTTTGCTTGACTTGGTGGTTTTTCTGAGGTATTAATGTTATTTTTACGTGAACAAGGGAGGTGTTACTGATTTCCTCAAGTGAAATATTAATTTTCCAGGAGGTGAAATATCACTTCATTTTTTTTTTTTCCCCCAGAGAACTTCTGTAGCTGGAAGGGGCAGTTCTGTGACATGGCAGGGCCAGCCCTGAAAAATGACACAGATTACTTGTCAGGGCTTGGTCCAGGCTTGGAAAAATTCGGGATATCAGGCACACAACCTGGTTTGGCAGGTTCTCACATAAACTCGCCCTGAGGGGCACCTCAGGGGAGGGAAAAACTCATGGAGAGCAGGGTGGGGGTTATTAAAGCAAAGATATTTTATATTAAATGACCAGAAATTTGGATTGTTTAGCATTTCAAGGAGAATAAGGATTATTCCATGGAAAGGGCTGTCAGGCATTGGAACTGCCCAGGGAGGTTTGGAGTCCCCACCCCTGGAGGTGTCCAAGGAAGGACAGGACGTGGCACTCAGTGCTCTGGGCTGGGGGACGAGTTGGGGATGGGGCACAGGGTGGACTTGATGATCCTGGAGGACTTTTCCAACCTGGGTGATCCCATAAATCTGTGATTTTAACATCAGGTTTGAACGTGAGAAGCTGCCCAGGCCCAGCCTGTCCTTGCTTTTGCTCCGGCTCCTGGACAGAGCAGCAGGAATCAGCTTGGCTGGATCCATCACCTGCCTGCAAGGTTTTATTTCCCGAAAGCTCGGCACGATCCCGAAAATCCGACTTTCTCCGAGCACAAATGGCGTTGCTGTGGCCTTTTCCTGGCTGAATTCCTCCACATCATGTCCCCCCGAGCCGGCTCGGTGTGAGCCCCGGGCTCGGCTTTGAGCAGATGAATGTAGGTTAGGTGTGAATGGGAATGAAACACCGGATAAAAATAACCTTGGGCTATTAGGAAATCGGGAAAGAGGGAAAAAAAAACCCCTGCCCTGCTCTGCCCAGCTCGGCACAGGAGGCAGCTTTTCCTCCCTTTCCGAGGGGATTTGGGTGAGTTTTCCCTGAGGGAGTTTCTACCTTTGGCAGCCCTTGGTGTCCATATCCCTGTTTTTGCCCCAGATGTGCTGTTTTCCCCCTCCAAAGTGCCTCTATAACCCTGTGCCCAATAACGAGGAGCGACCAGGGGAGGGGTTTTGCATCCAGTGCCCTTCGGGTTCGCTCCCAGGTGGCATCGGGAGCTCCAGGGAAATCTCTCTGGAGTTTGTTACCGAGCCTGTTTAATCCTAACTGATTTTTTTAGAGCTTGAGGGGGCATCTCCTGCTCCTCCCAGGGCCAGGGAGCAGCGTTTGGCCGTGGCTGCCACTCCAGGCAAAGAGCACTTGCTCCTTTTTCAGTAATGAATCCGCCTCGGCTGCTCCGTCCCGTCCTCCCAGGGACTCTGGGATGTATAAACAATCATTTGTGGATCACTCTGTTTTCTCTTCCATGGCACTGGCTCTGTCTGGAGCCAGTGGGGATCGGGCAGCCCTGATGGGAGTTGGATTTTAGGTACATTTTAAGTACATTTTAAAGACAGATGTAGGAAAAAAAAAAACGTGGAAAGCAACGTGGTTTTCCCTGCGGGAATATCATCGTCTTTCACTGAGGGGCAAGTGATGCTCTGGGTTGGTAGAGTTGGTGGTACAAAAGCAGCTTTTTTTCCCCCAAATTCTCCCATCCTTGACTGTCCATGTGCTTTCAGAACACTTCAAATACCCACCTGCTCCTGGCCTGGCATTTAAAATCTGTCTTAATTTGGCAGCAAACGGAGTCTCTCGCACTGGAGTCTAACAAAGATCTCCCCATCCTCTTAATTTTCCTGAAGTCCCTCAGGCACAGTTGACCTTTTAATCCATTGCACACCTCAGACTTCACTTGCACTCGTGTCCTTTCGTTTGTGGTCCTGTCAGGAGGTCGGGAATTGTCTTTTCCCAGGAGTGGGTTTGGATGCCCTTGCAGAATTCCACGTCCCAGACCTACAGATCTCACTGTTTAAACAGGACTGGGTGCAACACCCGGGTTTGTGTGCAAAGGGAAGGTGGCACAGAGGTCACAGCGTTTGGTTCTTGGAATGTTGTGAGTGTTTTATCTGTAATTTCTGTTAATTATGAGGGAGCTGACTCTGAGGATGAGCTGAACATGCTGGGTCTGCTTGGGCACTCCACGAACAACTGTGGCATTGCAGGGACAGGACAAGGGGGAATGGGTTCAAACTGAGAGGGGAAATTTAGATGGGATATTGGGGAGGAATTCTTCCCTGTGAGGGGCTGGGATGGAATTCCCAGAGAAGCTGTGGCTGCCTCTGGATCCCTGGAAGTGTCCGAGGCCAGGTTGGAGCAACCTGGGTTAGTGGGAGGTGTCCCTGCCCATGGCAGGGGGTGGCACTGGGTGGGCTTTAAGGTCCCTCCAACCCAAACCATTCCATGATTCCATGACTTCTTTGTGAGATCAGGAGTTACTCCCCACTTTTCAGAGCTGGGCAAGTCCTTCCACTCTTCTCAGTGCCCTGGAGGTGCAAATTTCCAGGTCAGTTTGCTCTGAGGGCTGTTCCTGCTGTCAGAGAGCCCAGGCTTGGCTGCAGGATCATCCTCTTCCTCCCCTCCTTCCTGCTGCCTGAGAGAGTCAAGCATTAATAAGGATAAAATCCAGCTCTTTAACAAAAGGGGGGGTTTGTTCCTCACATCAGCTCTGGCACGAGGCGACTGGAGCCCAGATTTTGCTGCCTGACAGGATTCCTCACTTTCACAGCACTAATTAAATGCTGATCCTCACGCCCTGCTCTGTGGATTTTGATTTTCCAAGCACTTGGGCTCTGCTACATCCTTCCTGTGACTCCCACAAAGCTTTTGAGGTGCTCCATGGCACAGGGGTCTGCTCTGACACCACACAACTGGCTCAGGGAGTGAGGAAGGATTTTTATAGCAGGAAGCATAAAAAGCAGGACAGCAGGTGATGTGGAGTAATCCCTGTGGGACCCCTCTCTCCACAGAGCTTGGCTGGAGTCATTTTGGTCCTGCCCTGACCAGGGGATGCTGGAAGGGCTGAGCAGTTACTGGTTATCCTGGTTCTGGGAAGGAAATGGACTCCCAGGATCTGAGCAGATCCCTGGGATAAGGTGCCAATCACCCCATGGATCGTGGGAGCTTCCAGCAGCCAGGCCACGCACTTAGGGGTGTGGCACAGGATTTCATTCCCGGTTTTAACTCATTCCCAAATATCCAGGCCTCCTAGCAGGAAGAAGGAGCTGTGTGTGTGCATCCCAGGGCTGGTGCTGTTCCTCTGGCATCTCCAGAGCAGGATTCTCTCCCTGCAGCTTGGCTGGCAGACGGGCAGAGCAGAGGAGAAGCTGGTTCCTTCTCCTGCCCAGCTCCTTGTGGGAGTGGAGCCGTGCAAAGCCAAGGAGGGAACTTACATAAAAGTTCTTGGCTGCTCCCGTTGGCGCAGCCTCAGATTTTATCTTGCATAACTTTGCTCTCTGGGGCCACCAGGAAAAGGCAAAGCCACAGTTCCAGAGCTTCTCGTGGGTCTCTGGATGGTGGGATGGGCGGCACTGCTCCTGGAGTCACATCCCAGCTCCTCTAAGCTCTCTGACCCCACTTCTGGGGCTTTTTACTCTTTAGGGTGGCTCCTGAGGCCGTGTTTGAGGGCCTGGAGTGATGGGGAATATGGGAGGGGAATGGTTCCTGTTTCTCCATTCTCTTCCAGGACAACCACCCTGTTTGGAGGAGTGCTGACAAATGATTTTCCAGCCTCTGAATGGCAGCGAGTCCCAAACCCTCCCTCACTCCAAGCCCTGCACCCACATTTCCACACAGCTCCTTTTGCTCGTTCCACCTGATCCTATTTGTGCAGCTTCCCTGACCTCCTCCCACTGCATGATTCCTGCCATCCTTACACCGATCCAGAGGGGGAAAACAGGTGAAATCCTGCAAAATCCACATCCAGAGGGGCCGTGTTTTCCTTTTGGAGCAGGGCTGAGCTCTGAATGCACTAAAACCCCTCGTCCAGCCTGTGTTGGTTCAGGGAGGTCTTGCTTAACCCTCTTTAATTGGCAGCTCCGTGGGGAAGGCTCTGTGTGTGCTCTGGAGCGTTCCAGGCACGTGGGACACGGGAGCACAACTTCCAAAGGGACCCATGAAAGCGGGGCCACCTTATTGCAGGCACCGGCTCCCCTTTCATCAGATCAGCTCTTGTTCTCCTCGCTCCTGCAGCTCCTGTGATTGGAAAATTGATGTTCAGCTCTAAAGAATCCCTTGTGCAGCCTCATCCTCCTTTTCCCTCGGGGGTTTCGGGGTAAATTGCTGCTGGATTTGCATTTAAAAGCGTGGCACCGCTGTTCCTCCCTGTGTTATTTGTCTAGCTCTGTCCTGTTAAATTCAACATACTCTGGCACATCACGGAATTACTGGGGTTGGAAAAGACCTGTAAAAGCAACTTCTGCTTTTTGGGGGGTGTGTTGGTCCTCCTGCCTAAATTGGTGGCTCCTGGTTTTCCTGTTTTTGCTGATATTTGCATGAAACCTGTTTTAGTGCAACATTATGACGATGATTGTCCCCTTGGAATTAGGAGGCAGCTCTGGAGCGGGTGCAGATGGCATGCAGTCTGGGTGTTTAGCCAAGCTGAGGGGTGAATTCATAGCTCTGGCAGCTCAGCTCTTCTCCTTTCAGGATTTGGGAGCATAATTTCGGTGGGAATCCAGTCTCCAAGTGTCTGCTCCAGACTGGGAAGCAAAGCCCTCCCGATTCCTCTCACCCCCAAAAAAAAAAAAAAGAAAAAAAGAGACGTGTTGCTGACTTCCTTGCCTTCCCTTTCCAGCTGTCCCATTCCCTCCCACGCAGCGGCTCACCCTGAAGGAGGTGTTTGAGGATGGGAAGCCGAGGCTCGACGTCCTCAAGAGCCACTTGGTGAAGGAAGGGCGGCTGGAGGAGGACGCGGCGCTGAAGATCATCAACGACGGCGCCGCCATCCTGAGGCACGAGAAGACCATGATCGAGGTGGAGGCCCCCATCACAGGTCAGAGAGCCCAAAAAGGGCCACCTGGGGTAACACCAGCAGGGCTGACACAGGTTTTTTTGCTGTGTTTTAACTCTCAGAAGAGAGGGTTTTTGCTGGCGGAGGTCGAGGCCGCCGCGCTCGGCTCCTTGTTGCTGTCGCGACCTTTCTTTTCTTGGCACGTAATTCTGTCCCTCTTTTGTGCTGTTCTTGCTCCCCCAGTGTGTGGTGACATCCACGGGCAGTTTTTTGACCTGATGAAGCTGTTTGAAGTTGGAGGATCACCCAATAACACCCGCTACCTCTTCCTGGGAGACTACGTGGACAGAGGCTACTTCAGTATAGAGGTGACAAAGAAAGCTGAGCTTGGTACTAAAGGAACCAGAAGTGTTGAGCCTCAGTTAAAATACAGCTCAGAATCAGTTTAAATACAGCTTGGAATCAGTTAAACACAGCTCAGAATCAGTTAAATAACCTCAGAATTGCAGCTCAGAATGAATAAAAACACCACCCTCAATCAGTTCAAATTCAGCTCAGAATCAGTTCAAATTCAGCTCAGAATCAGTTCAATTCAGCTCAGAATCAGTTCAATTCAGCTCAGAATCAGTTCAAATTCAGCTCAGAATCAGTTCAAATTCAGCTCAGAATCAGTTCAAATTCAGCTCAGAATCAGTTAAATTCAGCTCAAAATCAGTTAAATGCAGCTCAAAAGCAGTTAAAATGCAGCTCAGAATCAGTTAAATCCGACTCAAAAATCAGTTCAAATTCAGCTTAGAATCAGTTCAAATACAGCTCGGAATCAATTAAATCCAGCTTGAAATCAGTTAAATATAGCTTGGAATCAGATAAATTCAGCTCAGGATCAGTTAAATTCAGCTCAAAATCAATTAAATGCAGCTTGAAATCAGTTTAAGTACAGCTTGGAATCAGATAAATCCAGCTGAAAATCAGTTCAAATGCAGCTCAGAATCAGTTAAATACAGCCCAGAATTAGTTAAATACAACTCAGAATCAGCTCAAACAGCAAAGTCAAATCTCCTGTGCTGGATTTACCCTCCAGTCGAGCTCTGCATGGGGTGAAAATCCTGTTGGTAACTCCCAGTGTGATTTTGGGCAGGAAGGTGGTGTCCCAGTGTGAGGACTGAGCACTGGACCCTCACCCAGTGACATTTTGGTGGCAGTGATGGGGTTAATGGCTGAACTCTGCCTTCTGAAGTGGAGTTTTAATGTCACTTGGGGCTGTCACTCAGGGAAACAAGAGGGAGAGTCGATTGTGTGGCGCAGGCAACGAGATCCCACCAGGAGAGTGGGAAGCAAACGTTGGAAAACTTGCAGGATTCAGCTGAGCAGGGAAAAGGAAAAGTGTCACACGACTGAACCGCTGCTTCCCCCCGAGAGAATCAGCCTTGGAGTGGGGTCAGGACAAAGGGGGAGTCGCTGGGGTTGTGGTGGGACTTCACAGATTCCACGGAATTGGGCAGTGCTGGGAGTTGGTGTGAAGGCCAAAGGAATCACAGATCCCAAGGGACTGCAGCCTCCTGGATTCACAGAGGTGGTGGAGAAGGAGTGGAAATGGGAGAGTTTATCCCAGTTGGAAGCAACGTAACGAAGGGCTTTTGGGGAAACAAGGGCGCGAAAACAGGGCTGGAATTAGCAGAGGAGGCGGTTTCTCCTGGAAGAGGGGAGGGTGCAGGAATAGCTGAGCCGTTGGGTCTGCAGAGGAATCATTCCCAGTTAAATCCCGGGGAGGAGCTCTGCTGGATGAGTGCAAGTGGCTCTTTGAAGGATTCTGCAGAGGATTTAGGGAGAGCACTGTGCTGGAGCAGCCCCTGGCTCCCTTCCAGCCTCGGGAATTCTGACAGGGAGCCAAGGTGTGACGAGGAGCCCTTTCCGGGGAAGCGGGTCCGGATGCTGGGGAGGTGGGGTTGGGCTGCTGGGATTTGTGGTGGTGCTGGCAGGAGGAGCCCCACAACCCCCCGGGGAGGAAGGGGAAGGACATCCAACTGCTCCTTTCAATGGCTCGGCTTGTGCCAGTTGGGATTGCACTTGGAGTGTATTTACCTGGAAAAGAGATTATATTCCAGCCCAGCAGCTCCTTCTGAGGTAAAAGGTGGATTTTTTTTTGGTGTTAACCAAGAACCCCTCAAAGGGGGGTTGTTGGACCCTGTGTCTGCCCATGGATTTGACAGCTCCTGGGTGGAAAAGTGCTGCTCTCCCTCTGCTCTTCCCCCAGGATTGATCAGACATGGAGATTTTACTCCCAGATCCGCAGCAGTGCTGTGGATCAGTGCCCTGCTCTCTCCATGCTGGGATCATCACAGGATCCTGGAATGGTTTGGGTTAGGAGGGACCTTAAAATCACCCAGTTCCACCCCTGCCATCAGCAGGGACACCTTCCACTAGCCCAGGTTGCTCCAACCTGGCCTTGGACACTTCCAGGGATGATGCAGTCACAGCTTCTGTGGGAATTCAATCCAGGGAAGAGCTGGGAGGCTCCATGTTTAAAACTTCCTGATAAATGCCAGATTTTGGGAATGGGGGGAGAGGTTACGGTGTGGCTTGTGGGCACGTTTGGCACCAGCCCCTCTTGCATTTTTGGGGGGGTCACAATTCCTCCTGCAATTCCCTCCCTGGGGCCTGCTGAGCCTTCCCTTTCCAAGTGGATCAAACCCTTGGCTTTGGGCTTCACGCTGAGAGGCTGAATAAGGAGAGAAGTAGATTTATTAAAGTTTATTTAAGGCCAAATAAGTGTCTGGAGTCGCTCCTGGGGCCGTTGTGAACAGGCACTAATCAATTCCTGGGCTCAGGGCCGTGGAAAGGGTTCCATGCAGGAAGCATCCAAGGCATGCAAGTATGGAAACCTCCCTCATCCCTCATTCCAGCCCCTTGGGAGCTGTTGAAGGTCCTTCCCTCTGTGCCCCAGTGGTACCTGGCAGCCCCCACATCCCTGGGAAGTGGCTGCAGCCCCAGGGAATGTTTCTTTGTGTGTGTGTCCAGGAAGAGTTGTGGTGTCAAATTCCATCCCTTTTCACTTCAAAACCCTTCAAATGTTCTTTTTAAAACCCCTCTTGTGCAAGTTGCCAGCCTTCCCTCCATCCCAAATCCTCCTCTGTATCTCTGCTGGGCTTGGGTGCCAGGACTGGTTCTTCCTCCAGTCTTTAGCAAGTCATTTGGTTCATTTATAGCAACTTCCAAGTTCTCCTGCCAGCCCTGAGAAGTGACATTTAGCTTGCAAACACAGGAGGTTAAAGCTTTAAATCCCAGAATAATTATAAATGGGTTTGTTGGGAGCATTCCTCCTGGTAACAGATGCAATAAAACATGATTCTGCTACCGGTGTTGGCCCCGTTCGCCTGCAGAATTCAGAATTAATCAAGTTTTTAATGTGGGGTTGAATTCCAAGTGAGACACAGATGGTGCTTTACAGCTCCTTGGGTTTTGGGATCAGCTGGAGTGACTAATGCAGAGCTTACCTTGCAGGTTCAGTGCTTAAACACCATCCTGGCTGAGCTGTGTGTACTGGGAACCGACTGGAAACCGGTTTATTTGGGGTCTGGAGGTTGTTTCCAGCTGGTTCCCGGGGATCTGTGCCCCAGATCAGCAAGATCTGAGAGTGTCAAACTGTTCACAGAGTTTGTGGTTCCCACCCCCAGGCATGTGCAGGTTCTGTACCATCTCAGCCTCCAGGGTAAGCTCCTATTAGAGACTTTAATCCAGATCTTGGGGCTGCTGTCATTCTGGATTGTCCTTCCAGCTCTCCAAACCGTTGGATAACATTCCCTGTGTGCGATGCCAGCCCGTTTCCCTGTCAGCCTGACAATGCAGAGCACACAGGGGTGAGCACTCCTGCTTTCCAGCCCTTCCCTGAGGCTTTCTGGGAAACCAGCCTGGAACATTCCTGGTCAAAATCCCCCCCAGTCTGAGTCTGACTTTAGGCTGTGCTCAAAGAGTGTGGTTTTACAGGTGGTGCTGCTCAGCTGGGGGATGTGGAGAGCCCTTTTGAAAAGGCAGAAAGCTTTGCTAAGCTTGTTTTTTGGCTCAGCTTTTCCTGTTTTGAACTTGAACTTCACGTGACTGTGGCGTAAGCGGAGAAACGAGGCGGGGGTGGGGAGGGGAAACCAGTGGGGGGGATAAAGTTGAATTTTTCATGTTTAATGGACAAGTGGCTGCCTGCTCCGCTCCATCCCGCTGGAACATCTGGAGCAAACAGCTGGTTTGGCTTTGCTGCTCTGCAAGTGGGGCTTTGGAAGGGGAAATAAAACCCCCAAAACCTGCCCCCACCCAGCCCCGAGCTGGTTTGGGTGGACTAAAATCTCATTTGTCACTTCTCCAAGTCGGCCCTAATATAGAGAGAAATCCGGGTGGCTTTTCCCCCACTGCTGCATTTGGCCAAGATGAGATCCACTGCCCAGCATGGAGCTGGGTTTCTCTCCAGGTTCCACTTTGGGTGTCTTCCCAGAAACACTTCGGGAAGTCTCTCACACCGATGAGTGCCCTGGAAAAGGGGTTTTCTGCCTTTTTTTTCGCTGATCTCCTCCTTCCCCTCTCTTGCAGTGCGTGCTGTATTTATGGAGTTTAAAGATAAATCACCCCAAAACGTTGTTCCTCCTTCGAGGGAACCACGAGTGCAGGCACCTCACAGAATATTTCACCTTCAAGCAGGAGTGTAAGTACCAGCAGTGTGAGAAGGAATTCAATACATTTTAAAAATATGTTTTTAAATATATTTAAAAAAAAAAAAAAAGAGGTGCTGGAAGCAGGTGTGGGCCTTAATTTTCGTGCCTCTGAGCACAAAAATTAATATCAGAGCTGTATATATAATAAAAAGATTAATCAGATTACTCTCAGACTAATAATCAGATGAATATCAGATTAACACCAGATGAAATTAATATCCAGAGCTGTAAAAACCTGTTGTCTGTTTTCCTGTTTACACAGCTCTTCTCTTTCAGCCCCTGCCATAGAAAATACCCCAAAAAAACCCCAATATATAAGTCCCACAAAGCACCAGGGTTGTGTTGATGTGGCCTTTTGGTTGCAAAGAGGAGGAAATGGGAACACATCTCCCCTTGAGGAGCCAGTCACATCCTCCCCTCCCTGACTTCCAACATATAATCACTGCCAGGAGTCTCCCAGCTCCAGATTGTGCAGCTGGGATCAGTGATTCCAGTTGGAAGCAAGGGAAGGGTTTGCTCCTCCCTGTTTGCCCTGGGGAGAATCATTTACCTTTAGGATTGTTTTAGTTCAAGGTGGGTTTTCTGCAGCGTTTATGTGGCATCTCTGTTTTAATGTGTGGGAAAAAATCCTCTTCCCCTGTGCCTGGATGGTGGAGATTGTCATCACTTGTACCAGTGAAAGATCCACTGTGAAAATCCACTTCTCTGAGGGCATCCTGGGCAGATCCTGCCTCACAGCACCCGTGTCCAGCTGAAAAGGCAATTCCTGGCTTCAGGAATGTGTGATGTTGCTCTGCCAAATCCGACAGCTGCTGCCTTTCCCTGTCTGTGACCTGCATAGGATGAGCCTGGAGGTGCAGCAGGGATGTGTAGGGAAGTGCATCCCAAGTTTCTGTCAGGTGGAAACAGTCTCTTTTCTGGCTTGATCCCAGTGCAGGTCTTGTAGGAAACACCTTGAAGGGAGATGAATATTCCTGAACAAGTCCAGATTTACAGCAAAGCCTTTTTCTCTTCGCATCCAACAAACGTTTTCTAAGCCAGTATTTTCACTAATACCCAGGTGCAAAGTTGGAGTTGTGGGCCATAAACATAGAGTTTCCATATCCCCTGAGGAACTGGGCTCCTGGAATTTGTTTCTCAGCACTTTGGCTGATCACAGCTCGATTTAATCCCTGTTCCCAGGTCGAATCAAGTACTCGGAGCGAGTGTACGACGCGTGCATGGATACCTTTGACTGTCTTCCTCTTGCTGCCCTCCTAAACCAGCAATTCCTGTGTGTCCACGGAGGACTGTCTCCAGAAATCACATGTCTAGATGACATTAGGAAAGTAAGTCATCTCCGTGGGGCCATCCCATTGCTTCCAGTTCCAACGGGGGGGGGACAATGGCTCGATTCCCACACGGCATTCCAAGGGGATGGAGGGGGGTGTGTGTGTGTGTGTCCTGCCACAGCTCCCACCAGCAGCCTCCTGATGTTGTGTCCATTTTCCAGTTAGACAGGTTTAAGGAGCCTCCAGCCTTTGGTCCAATGTGTGATCTGCTCTGGTCTGATCCCTCGGAGGATTATGGCAACGAGAAAACGCTGGAGCATTTTGCCCACAACACTGTCCGGGGCTGCTCCTATTTCTACAGGTAAGAGGGGTTTTGGAGGGCACTTTGCCTCCCCTTGCACTGAAAAAAAATCAGTTCACCCTGTGGCACTTTGCAGTGTGCCTGAAATACTCTTCTCTTGGCTCTGATGCACAAATGACTGTTTGTTTTTCCTTCCCCTGTAATACTGAGCTCTCCTTAGGTAACTTACTTTATGAAATTGTGGTCTGAGGCAGCAGAGATGCTCCTTCTGCTGGCAGGGTGCCCCATGACTGGCTTTCAGTACCAGGATCTCTAGGAAATTATCTTTTCCTGCCTAAAAAAAAAAAAAAAAGCAGCATTTGTGCTGACAGACCACTCATAGGAAGGGTTTGGCACCAGGAGTCTGTTTAACAGAACCCTTTGCAATTAATTTTCGAGCCATATACTGGCATTTTTTGGGAGTGCTGGACAGAAACCAGGTGGTTTCTGCAAGTGGCTGGTCCCTGAAACCAAGACCACACCTGCTGAGTTACCCTTGCATTTTTTTTGTTTTCCAGTTATCCTGCAGTGTGTGAATTTTTGCAGAACAATAGTTTGTTATCCGTAATCCGAGCTCACGAAGCCCAGGATGCTGGGTAAGTGCTGCAGCCCCCGGGAGCTGGGCAGGTTTGGGCTTTTCCTTGGCCAGGTTTTAAAGCACCTGCCCTGTTTTCCAGGTACCGAATGTACAGGAAGAGCCAGACGACGGGCTTCCCCTCGCTAATCACAATCTTCTCTGCACCAAATTACTTAGATGTCTATAACAACAAGGGTAAGGGGCTCTTGGGGGGGGTCAGGGAATCCTTCTCCTACTCTGCCCTCTCAGAATCTCAGGTTGGAAAAGCCCTCCAAGGTCACAGAGTCCAACCTGTGACTGATCTCCACCATCCCAACCAGCCCAAAGCACTGAGTGTCCAGTCCTGCCTTGGACACCTCCAGGGCTGGGGACTCCACCACCTCCCTGGGCAATTCCAGTGTTTAACCAACCCTTTCCATGAGGAGATTCCTCCTGATGTCCAACCTGAGCCTCCCCTGGCACAGCTTGAGGCCGTTCCCTCTCCTCCTGTCCCTTGTTCCCTGGGAGCTCCCCCCTCCTGTCAGGGAGTTTTAGGGAGCAATAACATCCCCCCTGAGCCTCCTTTTCTCCAGGCTGAGCCCCCCCAGCTCCCTCAGCTGCTCCTGCTGCTCCATCCCCTTCCCTGGACACGCTCCTCAATGTCCTTCCTGAATTGAGGGGCCCAGAACTGGACACAGCACTCGAGGGGCCTCCCCAGTGCCCAGCAGGGAGGGACAATCCCTGCCCTGCCACTGCTGCCCCAGTGGTTTGGATACAAAAATACACTATTTTTGATACAAAACCCTCTCCTCCAGTTGCATTCTTGGGCACGAAATGAAAGAGGGCTTTGTGTGCTGGGCTGAAGTGGTCGGTCCCCTGACTTAATGTGTTACTGTGGTAATTAGCTGTCGAGTCATAGAGCCTGGAATGAAGCTTTCATTCCCAGCCACGGGACAACGGAGCCCTTTTGTGGGATGCTGCCATCCAAGAGAAGCTGATAGTGTAGGCAAGCTTTCCACTTCCCCCTGCCTCTAAATCATGAGGGGATTTTCCTCAGCTCTGGGGTTTTTTAAACCCTTCCCTTTGGATCTTGGCTCTGTGTTTTGCATCATTTTTAGCAGCTTTGTTCCACCGACCCTTCAGGATTTCAAGCTTTAGTGAAACAACATGAGTAAACTAAAAAATGGCTCTTTAAGGCTTCTCGTTTTGGGGTGTTGGTAGTTTGATTCTACACAGGTGTAACCTCATGTTGATAATGAAGTTTTATTAACACAGATACAACTTCCAAAGGCTGGGAGAGCTGGGGGTGTTCACCTGGAGAAGAGAAGTCTCTGGGAGGGCTTAGAGCCCCTTCCAGTGCCTGAAGGGGCTCCAGGAGAGCTGGAGAGGGACTTGGGACAAGGGATGGAGTGACAGGACAAGGGGGAATGGGTTCAGACTGAAAGAGGGGAAATTTAGGTTGGATATTGGAAAGGGTTGTGAGGCCCTGGCACAGGTTTCCCAGAGAAGCTGTGGCTGCCCCATCCCTGGAAGTGTCCAAGGGCAGGTTGGAGCAACCTGGGCTAGTGGAAGGTGTCCCTGCCTGTGGCAGGGGGGTGGGACTGGATGAATTTTAAGGTCCCTTCCAACCCAAACCATTCCAGCTCTTAAATTCCCAGTGCCCATGGACACGCGTTCTCTTGGCTTTTTCTCTCCCAGCTGCTGTACTGAAATATGAAAACAACGTCATGAACATCAGGCAGTTCAACTGTTCCCCTCATCCCTACTGGCTTCCAAACTTCATGGATGTCTTCACATGGTCTTTGCCTTTCGTAGGGGAAAAGGGTAAGAGAGGTTTGGATTTCTGTTCCGAGTTCCCAGTGACTGGTCACAGTTCCCTGAGCGTTAGAGATGTGTCCCATATGTGTTGGGAGAGTGTTGCAGCTCATTAATACCAGGTAGCACTGGGAAAACAGTTCAAATTCAAGGAAATCTTCGTATTCCTGGTTTAAATTCTTGGGAAAACCATTGTTTATGCTTGTTTTAAAGACCTTTTACCAACAGGCCGCTCCTTTCTTGCTCTTTCTGCATTATTGATGGGGCTCATCTTGGGTTGTGTAGCCCCACCTCAGAATTTGGAGACATTTCTCTTCCTCTGGGTTTGCAACAGAGGAATTAAAAACTCCTGTTGGCTCGTGGCCCACCGAAAAGGAAACATTCACTTCAGTCAGAGGCTTATTTCGTTCTGGAGGGGGGCGAGGCAGCTTAAAATATGCCCAAGACTCTGCCTCAGCTTTCCAGCAAAAGAGGATTTTTTTACATCTCCTGATGACTTTAAATTCCACCCCAGTGTTGTGTGTTTGGAGCTGTGGCTTTAAGCTCTGAACTGCCAAAGGGATGGGGGTATTTTTTTGACTTTGAGGCACCAAAGGTCTAATCCCCCACCCCCCAGGTCCTCAAATTCAGCACTCCCAGAGCCAGGTGGCCTGTTGGGATGGGGAGGGGGGACCTTGGGCGAGCTCAGGCTGTTCTGCAGGAATGTTGGCACCTCAGTGCCCACGTCTGGTTCATCTGTGCTGTGCTTGGACTGCATCCACCTCCTTGGCAGAGGATGGAGCGTGTGTCGTCTGCTCTGGTCCCGCTGCGAGGTACCAGCAGCTGCGGCTCACAGTGTCTTTAGGCTCCCACTTCCAGGGAATAAACGACCTTGAAAAAACCATTCCCTGGCACAGCTCGCCCTCCAGATCCCTCTGTGCTCCAGGGTGTGCCCCAGGCCTCTCTGACCCCCCCTGTCTGTGCCTCTTGCAGTCACCGAGATGCTCGTTAACATCCTCAACATCTGCTCCGATGACGAGCTGATCTCGGATGGGGACGAGACGTTGGAAGGTAAAACATCACTGTGGGGACCTGGTGACAGCAGGGGGGGAAGGTGGGGAAGGTGTTTGATGCCTGAGCAGCACTTGATTTATAGCTGGATGCCCAGCTCTCCAGTTCCTTTTTGGCCAAACCTTGTGCAGTTCTGGGTAGGAAACGTTTATTTTTTTTTTTTCCTCGTTTGCTCTTCAGTCACAGAGAAATTAAATGACATTCACTGCGACAGACACTTCTTGCCAGCTACTCTGGGAATGGTTTCCTGCTCCTTACACAGGCTGCTGGTTATTTTTTCCCCCAATTCAGAATTTTCTGCACCAAAATATCCACCCAATCTTCTCATCTGTTGCAGTGAGCTCCTGTGTAAAGCGGCTTCTCACGTCACCCCTCCCCAAAAGCCAGAATGCGGTTTTTGGCCTTGATTTTAAGCTGTGCATGAAAGGGACAAATCAGTGGCTGAGCTGACGTGCAGTTTGGAATTTGGGGGTCCCTCAGGAAGCCGTGGGGGGCAGTGAGAAGTGGGGCCCTGAGCTGCTTCGGTCCCAGCTGGAGACTCTTAACCCGCTTCTCCCATTGCATTTCGTTTTTGCTTTTTTGGTTTGGTTTTGGTTTTTTTTGTTTTGTTTTGTTTTTTCTTTCCTCCCTCCCATGAAAATTAAATTTGTTTCTTCTATCTCTGTCTTCATCTACTTGTTTCTTGGTGTCTCCTCTCCCTGAAGATCACTACATTTCAAGCTATCCGAAAGGTACCCAGCTAGAATTTGCTACGAGCTTAATTTTCACTGCCTGTGCCACCAGATCCTTGAAGTGGATTTCCAGAGCTGACTAGTCGGGCAGGCTCTTCATCCCCTTTCAGTTTTAACATAAGCTCCATGTGTTTTTAACCCTTCTGCGTTCCTCCAGGGGCCTGAGGAATGGGGTCACGTTTCTACCTGATTCTGAATGCAGCCACGTAGTGCATGGCTGAGCCATGGTGCATGTTAGACCTGGGTTTGGCTTTCCTGTCCTGATGTGTACTGGGCCATGTGAGGAATCTCAGCTGAGAGGAGATGGATTTTGTTTCCCCCCTGTTTCACCTGGATTTTTGGTTTGGTTTCAGTTCCCTCCATGCTTTTTCTCTCCCGTCGGGTCCGTGGAGCGGGAGGGGAGTTCACCTCTCTCACCTTTGTGTTTGTGTGGGGTCCGAGCAGAGCTGCAAGGCCCTGGCCAGCCCTTCCCTGTGCTCCTTGGATGCCAAAGCTGATGCTTGCGTGGCACAGCAGTGCCCATCAGCCATCAGACCCCTCCGTGCTCTGCCTTGCAAAACTGTGTCTCCATGGCTGAGTCATTTGTGTCACATCCTGTGTAGTGTGAGCCCACCCGGTGAGCTTCCAACAAAGACCTCCCCAGATCCGTGTCCCTCGGTGGTTCTACTCTCTCTAGAGCTCTCGAGTCCGTGTCTCATCTCGTTGGTGTTGCCCTTCTCACTGCCATCCTGATGCCATCCTGATGCCATCCTCCAGCACCGTTCTCTCTCCAGTGTAGCTGTGAATCTGTAAACCATGATTTCTTTTCCTGGAGTCAGGCAGGTGCTTCATGCTGGCGTTCCCTGGGAAAGCAGGAAGCCTCCAACGTGCTGCTCTTTGCTCTTTTCTCTCCCTTAGGTGGGACAACAGTCCGTAAGGAGATCATCAGGAATAAGATCAGAGCCATTGGGAAGATGGCACGTGTGTTCTCGGTTCTTCGGTAAGGAGGGGTTGGGAGCTGGGTTTAATTGGGGGGCTGGGTTTAATTTGGGGGCTGGGTGACAGGGGAATGTCAGTCAGTCAGGAAGGAAGGGGAAAACCTCACAAAACTTCCTCCAGAGCGTGTGGAAGAGGCTCGAGGTGGTGGTTTCTGACTTTCAGGAGGTTGTGGTAAGGTGGGGGGTCAGGCTACTCTCCCAGGTAACAAGTCACAGGATGGGAGGAAACAGCCTTCAGTTGTGCCAGAGAAGGCTTAGGTTGGATATCAGGGAAAATTTCTTCATGGAAAGGGCTGTCCAGCCCTGGCACAGCCTGCCCAGGGCAGTGGTGGAATCACCATCCCTGGTGGGATTTAAAGGAAATGTGTGGATGTGATTTAACAGACGTGTGGATGTGGCACCTGGGGACAGGGGTTAGTGGTGAAAACACGGTGATGGTGATGGTTGGACTTGGTAATCTTAGACATCTTTTCCAACCTTAATAATTCCATGATTCCCGAGGCTTGGTCAGCCCAGTGTGACCATTGCATTGCCCTCTCTGAGCTGTTGTGTTGCTGTTCCCTGCAGGGAGGAGAGTGAGAGCGTGCTGACCCTCAAAGGCCTGACCCCCACAGGTACCCTGCCCCTGGGAGTGCTCTCGGGGGGCAGGCAGACCCTCCAGACCGGTGAGTGTCCCTGATCCCCCCCTGCTCTGCTCCACCTGCCCCCAAACCCCCCCTTCCAGCCCCCACAGGCAGCCTGGAGGGTGCCAGGGGATCCCAGGGATGGCTCAGGCCCACGGGGAGGAAGGATTCCGAACCAGGAAGGAGCAGAGGTGTAGGTGGGGATGTGGAGAGATGCCAAGACAGTCCCCGTGTACCCCGGAGGAAGGAACCCCACAGCACCCTGCCCAGAGCATGTGCATTGCTTAACTGTATGTTTCTGCAAGGATTTTTTTATCCTTTATTTCCCTCCTAATGCTGCATGGTGCACATCCTCTGCCTCACCTCGCTGCTGCTGCTGCTGTGTGACAGCCTCTGTGTGAATGTGACAGTGACACACCTTGTTTGTTCTTCGTTAACACACCCCCAACCCCCCCAAAACTGCCCCTGGGAAATCACGAATTCCAAACACAGGAAGACTTAGCCAAAGGAATGAGATCCATCCGGGCCTGGATGTTTTATATTAAGACTCCTCTCAGGTTTTCATCTGGTTTTGGAGGTTTCTTTCCGCTTTGCTCCCTCCCTCAGCAGCTCTGTGTTGGTGGAGTGCTGGGAGCGGGATCCGATCCATGGGCTTCCCACTCACAGGGCGGGGAGGGAGGTTGGCTGCTGGTCAGGGAATGAGCTGTCCCAGTAACGTGTCCCCAGAGGGAATCCTGTAATCTAGTGTTTTAATCCTTTCCTGCTATCCTTTGAATGCTGGCATGTCCCCAGCTTCCCCCTTCCCATGGGCACCGGGGATTTCCTGCAGCTCACACAGGGACGAGGCCGGGGCTGCCTGGATTAAATAGTTCACGAGTAGGAAACGTGTAAATACTGCTGCCTGCTCCCAGGGAGGGTGCAGCATCGCTCCCAAACTCGTGCATTTCTCTGCCCAAAGAGGAGGATGGATTTTTTCTTTTTTTTTTTACCCCCTTTTTTTTTTTTTTATAGAAACCATCGTGGTCCTGTCGCCCCAGTTCTGGGAACAGAGCCTGAGTGGGAAGGTGGCTGTTGCAGCAGCTTTGTCCCTGTATCTGACAGCACAGGGTGATGCTGTGACGTTCTCCAGCCCCTTCCCCTCTCAGGGAGTTCTCAGGGGGGTACCATGGACCTTCCCCCTCACCCCAAAATAGGCATCTCCCCAGGACAGAACAAACAAGCTGGGCCTTTGCTCTGCCTTACCCGCCCTGCCCGCTGCCTCTTCCTATGGCTGCAGGCTCCCCCTGCTTCCCTCAGCACCACCCTGCTTCTCCTGCCCTTCTCACCCCCATTTCCCTGTCCTACCCCCTTCTCCCACCCCTTTTTCCCCATCCTGTCCCCTTCTCCCAGCCCTTTTTCCCCGTCCTGCCCTCTCTCCCACCCCGCCCCATTTCGCACGTCCCTTCGCACTCCCGGCAGCCTCCTGGTGAATTTATGGGAGCCCCGTCTGCTCAGCGAGGAGAAGAGGGGGCTACCCCCCTTTAGGGGTGCCTCTGCACCCTAAAAAAGGAGAAACAGGGCTGCAGGTAGCAGTGGGGGAGGCTCATCCCTCCCAAGCCTCCCCCCAGCTTTCCACAGCACGGCTTAGCAAAATCAATGGAATGAAGTCACCAAATCCAGGGCAAAGCTGTTCAGCCACAGCTCCATCCTTCCCCCGTGGCCTCCCAAGGACCGTGTGGCCTTTGTGCTGGGGCCAAAGTGGTGTTTTGAGGCTGAAAACCAGAGAATCTGTTCTAAGGAAGGGCCTCCTCCCAGATGTTGAGGCAGGGCCTGCCAAAACTTGGCCCGTTGCTGCAGCAGATTTAGGAAAGGGGACCTTGCTCAGCTCGGTGGTGCCTCGTTGCTTGGTAACACTTTTAGGAGGTGGAGCTGAAGCCAAACTGGGTTTGAAGCATCAGCCTTATTTTTTCCTATAACTCAAGGCATCGGGAGCAGAGCAGCCCAGTGACTGCTGCTTGTCCTTCCCTGGAAGACAGTCTATCCCTCTGCTTCCCACTGCTCCCAAACATCTTCCCATCCCTCGGGCTCACTCCCCTCCCACAGCCGTGAGGGCAGTGGGTGAATTCCACACAGTTCACCTCCTGCAGGCAGCCAGAGCACCCAGCTGGGAGCAGGGGGGTGAGATCCACAGCTCAGCCCGAGGTTATCCCCGTCCTCCCCGGGGCACACGCAGCAGGCAGCCCTCTCTCTGCTTCTCTGTCCTTCCATCGGATCAATCTGTGTGGCGAGGAAGGGAGACTCCCCCTGCACCCCGAGGGAGTCCCCTTCCACCCTCCTCTCCACCCGCTGTCACCTCTTCTCTTCCCTCTGGCCCGTGGTTTGGGGGAGCGTGGGCTCTGCGTCGCAGCCATGATGTCGGATCACTCACTGTCACTCTGTTTTGTTTTCTTTTTTGTTTTGTTTTTTTTTTTCTGTCTTCATTTTTGCATGCCACTGTTCTTCTGTATTGCAGCCACAGTAGAAGCGGTAGAGGCACGGGAAGGTATGGCTAGAACCCGCCGAGAGACCCAAAGCATCTCCGTGTGTGCGTGCGCTGACCCCAAACAGCTTTATCGGCCCTACAGAAGCTTTTTTTTTTTTTTTTTTTCCCACTCTTGCATCACCAGAAGCGGGGGAAGGACAAGGCCCTGCTGGGGAGCTAAAAAAAAAAAAAAATCCCCAGTGGTTTGGTTCGAGGCTGTTTGAGCCTCAGCGAGGTTGTTGCTCGGGGCGGTTCGTGCTCTGGTGGTTGGGGTCCTGCAATCTGATCTCTCAGGCTGCCAGCACGGTTAAAATCCTTTAGGAACAGAGGATTTCGTGGTGCTGATGTAACCCCCTGCCTTCTGGGCCGAGGTGGAGAGCAGGTTTCTCCCTGTGGAGTGTGGAAATGGCAGATCCCCGAGGGTGTTTTCCTCGATGCTGAATGGGGGCCACGCAGCTCTGCAGAGACTTTGCTTACCAAGGGAAGTTGTTTGTAAAGCAGCCAAGTCCTTGGAAAAGATTTGGCACGACCCCCTTTTTCCTTAAATGACGTGTAACACAAAGGAGTTTCACATTTGGGCCGGATCATCGCGGCGAGGACGGACGTGCTCGGCCTCGCAGTGATGGAACAGGGACACGAAATCCCTGAGGGGGATCCATCCCTCCCAAAACTGCCCGTGTGTCTTCTGGTCATGCAAGAGCTCTGCCTTTGTGATCCAAGGATTAGCTGTTCCCTCTCCTGGTGTTGCAGTGTGTGGTTTGTGTCGGAGTTCAGAGCCTTGTGGTGGTGTCTTTGTTCTGTCGGTTTGGTTTGGCTTTTTTTTTTTTTGGTGGTGTTATTTTTTCAGTGTCGTGTTGTTCAGCTTTGAACCTTTCCTGAGATTTCACTCTTTGGGGACAGCGAGCACTTGTCTGGTTCTTCAAATTCCCGCTGCTGTGTTAGAAAAGGGCAGGTGGGATGTTGGGAAGGAATTCTTCCCTGTGAGGGTGGGGAGGGGCTGGGATGGAATTCCTGGAGAAGCTGTGGCTGCCCCATCCTTGGGAGTGTCCAAGGCCAGGTTGGAGCAACCTGGGCTAGTGGAAGGTGTCCCTGCCCATGGCAGGGGGGGTGGAACTGGGTGATTTTAAGGTCCCTTCCATCCCAAACCATTCCATGACTCCATGAAGAGAGAAGCTCTGAGGGAGCGGAGCGAGTCACCGCGGTCGAATCCCAGACTTTGCTGCCGCGATCCAGCAAATTCCAACCCCCAGAACCGCCCCCAAAAACATCCACGTGGATCCCAAATCCAGACAGGCGCCGCATCCACACAGGTGCTCTCTGTCCCCGCTGACTGTCCCGTTCGTGTCTGGCGTGTGCTCAGAGGGCTCCTCCCGCCGATCCCCGGCCCGGCACTAACACCCTGCCCTCCCTCATCCCTTCTCCCCGCAGCCATCCGTGGGTTCTCCCCGCAGCACAAGATCCGCAGCTTCGAGGAGGCGCGGGGGCTGGACCGGATCAACGAGCGGATGCCGCCGCGCAAGGATTCCCTGCACTCGGACGGGCCCGTGAACTTGGTAACCTCGAACTCTGCGGACAAGAACGGCACGGGGAAGAAATCCCAGTAACGCTGCGAGCGCCCGAACCCGCACCGCTAAAGGATCCAAAACTTAAGGAGTTTTATTTATTTATTATCGGGGGTGGGCTGGGGGCGAGGGGGGGTTGAAACCAACGTCACCCGGAGGCACGTCCATAAGTCCAAGTTCGCATCCGTTCTGTAAAAGGAA